TTTAATTAGATCTGTAAAACTGATGCACACGCAACACTCAGGTTCTGGAGCAGGACTGCAGTCCAGAAGTGGGCGAACAACCAGAACTTTACGCCAGAGTGTACAGCTGGTGAACGCGAAGAAGAAGAAGAAGATGAGAAAGCCATTGGTTTTTTGGAATCTGAAGTACGATACATGTCTTCCACTAATCCCAACAGTTTGATTTGCATTGGAATGCCAACAGAAGTAACATGGTTTTTCTTTACTGTTTGAGTGAATATCTCTATAGCACGCATCCGGTATTCTGTGGTGCCTGTCAACTTAGGCGAAGTTCTGAATGCCCAAGTAGTCTTGAATTTCTTGTACTTGTGCCTGCAGAGTCTGTTGTGTCTAGTTAAGTTAAGTTAGTTGCGTATCCTTTACAGGACGTTGCAGAACCAACCCCAGCTTTGTTTGGCTGTTGTGGTTTTTCTAGGCAAATTTATGTCCAGTAGTTTGCCATTGCTTTCTGGACGTTGTGTCTAGTACGCAGTCTAAATATAATGGTCTGTATGTTTCGTGTAAGAAGGTTGACTGGATCTTTCAGACTGTGACCTGGAGGGAAAGTGTGTTCCAATACGTTCTAATGGCTGCCTTGTTGTGGGTTTTATCTTCCTCATTAGTGCATTCTGTAGGTGGCTGCTTTGTACGACTTCAGTTTTTTCCTATGTAGTCTGTTCTGTGGTTTTCCTAAATGTTGCGGTAGCCACCCAATATACTAGTTGTTAAGTCACTTCCTAGTGTGTGTAATGGAAGCCTTCTTGGTTAGGTGGCTGGATATTTGCCTGCCAATCCCGTGGTAATGTTTTTGAATCCCTATTTCTGTAAACTGTACATTGATCAGGGGTTTTTTGAGTCCTGAAAAGGACTCTTGCAGTATTGATATGAAGACAGATCAAAATACTGTTACGAAATCGTCTACCGGCGAGGCAATGGGCGACCCGGTCGCTGATAAGGGAAGGCAGGGGTGAATTATATGAATTCCCCATCCACCCTTTCTCTCCTCAATCCAAGGAGGCTTCTAAGGAGGCTTTCATACATGTAGATCCGACTCATGATGCTGTGGTTCTGGGCTCACAACAGGAATCGTCACGTCCTGCACATGATGCTTAACCTCACAGCCGTATGGTGAGCTTTGCAATCGTCACGACCTGTACATGATGCTTAACCTCACAGCCGTATGGTGAGCTTTGCAATCGTCACGTCCTGTACATGATGCTTAACCTCACAGCCGTTATGGTGAGCTTTGCAATCGTCACGTCCTGTACATGATGCTTAACCTCACAGCCGTTATGGTGAGCTTTGCAATCGTCACGTCCTGTACATGATGCTTAACCTCACAGCCGTTATGGTGAGCTTTGCAATCGCCACGTCCTGTACATGATGCTTAACCTCACAGCCGCATGGTGAGCTTTGCAATCGTCACGTCCTGTACATGATGCTTAACCTCACAGCCGTATGGTGAGCTTTGCAATCGTCACGTCTTGTACATGATGCTTAACCTCACAGCCGTATGGTGAGCTTTGCAATCGTCACGTCCTGCACATGATGCTTAACCCCACAGCCGTATGGTGAGCTTTGCAATCGTCACGTCCTGCACATGTTGCTTAACTTCACAGCCGTATGGTGAGCTTTGCAATCGTCACGTTTTGCACATGTTGCTTAACCTCACAGCCGTATGGTGAGCTTTGCAATCGTCACGTCCTGCACATGATGCTTAACCTCACAGCCGTATGGTGAGCTTTGCAATCGTCACGTCTTGTACATGATGCTTAACCTCACAGACGTATGGTGAGCTTTGCAATCGTCACGTCCTGCACACGATGCTTAACCCCACAGCCGTATGGTGAGCTTTGCAATCGTCACGTCCTGCACATGTTGCTTAACCTCACAGCCGTATGGTGAGCTTTGCAATCGTCACGTCCTGCACATGATGCTTAACCTCACAGCCGTATGGTGAGCTTTGCAATCGTCACGTCCTGCACATGTTGCTTAACCTCACGGCCGTATGGTGAGCTTTGCAATCGTCACGTCCTGCACATGTTGCTTAACCTCACAGCCGTATGGTGAGCTTTGCAATCGTCACGTCCTGCACATGATGCTTAACCCCACAGCCGTATGGTGAGCTTTGCAATCGTCACGTCCTGCACATGATGCTTAACCCCACAGCCGTATGGTGAGCTTTGCAATCGTCACGTCCTGCAAATGTTGCTTAACCTCACAGCCGTATGGTGAGCTTTGCAATCGTCACGTCCTGCACATGATGCTTAACCTCACAGCCGTATGGTGAGCTTTGCAATCGTCACGTCCTGCACATGATGCTTAACCTCACAGCCGTATGATGAGCTTTGCAATCGTCACGTCCTGCACCTGATGCTTAACCTCACAGCAGTATGGTGAGCTTTGGAATCGTCACGTCCTGCACCTGATGCTTAACCTCACAGCCGTATGGTGAGCTTTGCAATCGTCACGGGCTGCACCCTTCAGAAAACGAACGCACAAACAAAAAACAAAAAACTTTTTTTTTAAAGGGAACTGGCCACATAGGCCCCTCTGACTATTCCTCCCTTCTGGCCCAACTCCATGCATACATTATTCCATTTACACACCGTTTACGCAGATAATAGACAGGAGATCAACAGGGAGCAGCCCGCAGGTCAAGAACGTCTTCAGCGTTGTTTCAACTGTACACTTAGCACAACAGTATAGAAACTCATGCATCAGGCATGGCATCGTCGGATTATTCCCGACACTCGGGTCAGTGGGGCCAATGGTAACGGACATTTCAACCTTTCTGCTAATCCGTACGACTTTCTGACGGTCGGACAACTGAGACTTAGCTTGTGTGCCATAGGAAGTGTATTCTTATTTCCCCTGGTCTCTTGTAGTGAGATCAGACGCCCGTGTGTATTGTTGCACACATAAACAATCCATTTGCAGTTTTAAATCGAAAAGAGTAGCCTAACGGCCCGGCTCAGGCCAAATTTGGGTTAAAAATCTACCCGAAGTATTTCAGCATTCTCGCCCGTACTACTGAGTTCGTGCACCGCGTTAAGATGCTTTGGACAGGCTTGAATTAGAAGTAGAACGGAGCATTTATGGGTCACTACCCTTGTGGCATAATGCTGATCCGTTGTTTAAACCTAAACCTATTCATCAGATATTCGAGCCTAACAAGAGACTGAAAGCAGGATGTGGCGATTTTACGGATCTCTGTACTACCCTTTGGAACTCTGACAGTAAACCCCTTGGAACTGACAGAGTTAATCCTCCGTTGAGCAACTATCCATGGCGCACGACACGGACGTATAGTAGGAGTCATAAAAGCGGTTTCGTAAAACCACCCAGAGAAGGCTGGCACAAGAGGAGAGGTACGGAGTGTCTCCTTACACATATCACAGCGGTCTTCTCTCACGGCTGTGACGGAAACCACAGCGCCACATTTGTTTACTTGTATTATACCATTTCCTGCCAGTTTCTATATTGAATAATTTTTTAATAGGGTGTAGGGGCTGGACCCACGACCCACGACCAACCCTTTTCCTTTCTCATCCGGGCGTGGGACTGGCAATGGATCCCAGGTTGTAAAGGGAGGTGAAGAAAAAGACCCTTCTTCACGTTTTTAAACGTACTGGACATAAAGGGCTAGATCGACGTCTTATAGACCAGTCCACATGCAGTAAATATAACATGAAGATCAATGTAAAACAAAACCGAACAATGCAAGTTAGTAGAACCCCTGCCTTACTACACATACAGCTGAATGGTTCTGGTCTGAATCAAGTTAGGGAATTTAGGTATCTGTGAAATATGATCACCGAAAAAGGTATAATTGACAGAGAAACATAAACCAGATGTCCGAAAGCAAGTGCACATATATATATAGCATTTGTCACGATTATTAAAACATCCGAATATAACTATGAGTGCTTATAGACAGATTATAAAGAGCATAATTATTCCAACACTGGCTACGAATTACAAGCATGGACACTATCTAAAGCCTATGTACGTAAAATCACGATTTGCGAGATGAGATATCTATGAAAAACAGTCAACCTAACCATCCGAGATTAAGTGAATAATGATACAGTCAGTCTAATTGTAGGAACGACACCTTGTACTAGATTCATCGATAAACAACAGATCAAGTGGTTTGGCCATCCTGTCAAAATAAAGCAAGATAAAATACCATCACAAGCACTACATCTCAGAAGATCAGCTACAAGATCAAGAGGATGACCACGAACAACATTAAATACACTCTACGCCTTCACGTCAAAGCAGTAGCCAGTGGATGTCAGTGTGCACTGAATCGAAAATTATCCCGATCCATGTCGCTTAACGATAGAAGTGGTTTATGATGATGCTTAATCCGCAGTCGGTAGGGGGATGTGGTCAACACCACGCCTGGTACCTATTTCAGGCTGAGTCGAGTGGTGAGTCAAAGTCATGTTGACTGACTGAATTTCTACCCCACCAGGACATCACACAAGCGATAAACACCCGATGACACAATGTGCCACTATGTGGATGAGGATCGCCGTGGAGAGGTCCCAGAAACCGCGTTCAGACATTTGGCCATATATATGGCCTGCCTATATTGCGGCCCCTGGCAAAAGCCAGAGTAGGGCTTCAAATGACAAAAAATTTCGTCCTGAAAAGGACGAAATTGGATATAATTATCAAAAAGTCATGTTTGAATTTAACAAAACAAATATACCAGAGATCGGAAGGAACCAGATTATTGGTTCACAGTCTAGCAGTCATTATCAAATGGTCAGCTATTGATTCTGATCATCACCCAAATTTCTCGTATAAGACATGTATGCATACATTTCAGGTATCGTATTCACCAAAACAGTTCAGTTCGGAGAAAAAAAAAATTAAAAAAAAACAAACAAACTGGCCCACCTCTTTTTCCACACACACACACATACACATAAAAAGAATTACACCCCCCCCCCCGCCCCCACAAAGAATTACACCCCCCCCCCCCACACACACACACACGCATACACACACGAAGAATCACCCCTTCCCCAGACACACACACACACACACATACACACACACACACACACAGAATTACACCCCCTTTTTGTTTTTTTAAAAGCACTCCTATCGATTACGTTCAGACGTACTTGCCTTTGTCGCAGTCTTTGCATCCTTCTGAGTTCATTAACCCGCTTTGGGGCTCCTCCGCGCCTCTCCTTGCTCTCCTCGGCTAGGCCTTCTTCAATGACGTCATCCCAGCAGGTGCGCGACATCAGGTACAGGATTATGGCCAGGTAGCGCTCTATCTTGCCGGCCACCTCCTGCGTGTATTGTTGCTGCTCTTCCATGAATTCTCCTAGTGTGTAGGTCAGCTGCATATACACAATATTAGGTGTTGACTCATTCTTAAGGGGTTTAGAGGAAAGAAGAAGATGAGAAGAAAGAGAAAGAAAGAAAGAAAGAAAGAAAGAAAGAAAGAAAGAAAGAAAGAAAGAAAGAAAGAAAGAAAGAAAGAAAGAAAGAAAGAAAGAAAGAAAGAAAGAAAGAAAGAAAGAAAGAAAGAAAGAAAGAAAGAAAGAAAGAAAGAAAGAAAGAAAGAAAGAAGAGTTGAGTTGAGTCAAGCACTGACATCACAGCACTCGGAACATTTCATGCCTGTTCCGTCCTCATCTTCAGCAGCCAGCGCAGAGTTCCAATACTGATGGTACCGATCAAAATCTCGACATATGTCCATCTTGCCTTTCCTCTGAGTGTAGTCAGCGAACCAGACCCTCTGGTTACACCCAGGTGCCTCATTCTCTCCAGGCCAATCTTCTATCTCTACTAATTCCATTGCTTGTTCCCAAAGAGCCTTGGCCACATCTGCCTTGTCATGTATCATGGTAAATTATTCTTCTTCTTTCACCGGCTGTGAATTCCGGCGGAACGTCAGGTTAATCGTCCGCTTGGACTTTTGGCTTTTACGTAAAAGCGAAAGGTCCAAGCGGACGATTAACCTGACCTTCCGCCGGAATTCACACCCGGTGAACGAAGAAGAAGAAGAATTTACCACCCAATGGTGCAGATCCAGCCAGTCTGTCCGTCTGTTCAAAACGAAGAAGATGATGATGATGAGGGATAAAACGGAGAGGAAAAACACGACATCCGGAGAGAGATTGAGACAGAGAGCTAAAGAGGTGAGGAGGCAGAATGAGGAAGATGGGGGAGGAAAAGGAAGAGGACGTTGATGAGAGACAGAAGACGAGGTAAAAAGAAAAGAAAAAAAAAAGAAAAGAGATGGAGAGGGAGTTGTAAGAGGGAGACAGGGAGAAGGAGAAGAAGAAGAGAAGAAAATGAAGTCTGAAACGGGTGCTCAAAAATTTCATAAAAAGTAACGACGACCGAGGCAATATTGATGAAATCTCCCAAGAGCACCCAATGTTCTGACAAATTATAGATCTTACATCATAGGTCCCATATGCTCACCGGTAGCCACTTTTGTTTTCTGGTAAAATTGTCATCCTCATCGTCGTCATCGTCGTCATCATCGTCATCGTCGTCATCATCATAATCATCCACATCATCACCATCATCGTGAGCCGTGCCGGTTAGCGTAGGATGCCATGTTTGGCAATCTCTCCCGATCACCAGAATCACGGGCCAGGTCAATGTTTCCTTCTCGCCCCATTTATCTGGCCAGGCCAGTCAGGTATTTATTTCTTTGCCATCCTTCAGCTCTCTTTCCATCAATCTTGCCAGTTTTAACCAAGCTTTTGTGGTCATTCCATTTAAAGATATGTCCAAAAATACTAGCTGGCTAAGTCGGATTGTTCTATTAGGTTTACACCTTTTATCTGTCTCGTTCCAGTTTGAAGTTTAAACAACGGATCAACATCATGGTACACGGGTGGTGTCCCATAAGTGCTCCGTTTTTGTCCTAACTCAAGTCTGTCCGAAGAAGCTCAGCACAGTGCACAGGTTTTGTAGCACCGGCGAGGATCCTGAAATACTTTGGGTAGATTTTAAACTCCAAATTTCGCCTAGGCAGCGCCGTTAGGCTACTCTTTTCGATTTCCAACTGAATAGGGATTTTTTTTTACGGGTTCAGCAATGCATACGGGTGTCGGATGTCACTACCCAGCGACCAGGGGGAATTACTAGAAATACAAGTCCACGTGAAAAAATCCCAGCCCTTACTGGGAATGGAACCCGGAACCTCTAGCACTCGCGGTGGACACCATGCCTCAAGAAAAGACCACACAGCCCCCCCCCCCCCACCACGTTGTCTCAATAAGGACTGCTTCGTTTATTTTTATATCTTTTTGCAAAACTCTTTGCTTTCTCTGAAACCACAAATCTGCCGAGAGTAAATATTTTTATTGTTTGCTTATTTTCTACATAACACGTTGACACTCTTTTTCTCAAGGAACATTTTCTTCTTGGCGAGAATATTTTTGCATCTCGCTAAAAGCCAACTTTGCCATGGCGATGCTTGATCTAATTTCTGAAGTAAGTAATGAGATATCTGAGAACAGCCGCCAATTTAACCATCCGAGACAAAGATAGAAATGATATTATCAGACAGACTGTAGGAAACACACCATGCAGCAAATTCATTGAGAAAAAGAAGATCAAATGGTATGGCCAGAACAATTACCAGTGCCAATGCAGGCACAACACATGAGAAAACGTGAATTAAAATTAAGAGGCCGCACTAGAATAAGATGGACTGATGACACTAAAGAGCTTCTACGTCGACACGGAATGACAATAGCCATAGCTGCCCATCAAGCAATGGATCGCAAGCTGTTCAACCACACAACGGTTAACGACAGAAGCGGAAATTAACGATGATGATGATAATGATGATGACTGACAAAAAAGTGAAAAGTACCTCAGCATCCACGTGGATCAACGTCAAGGCAGCCATATCCAGGCACATGGTGCGCACCAGCAGAAGGGTCTCGGCGTAGTTGGGGTTGCAAGTCATCAGTTGGGATCGAAGCTTTCTCCTGGTCTTGCCGAACCTGCTCATGTCCAGATGATTGGCTAAGCTGGAGCAGGAAGCGTCGAATGAACAGAATATGGACGGTTGTATTAAAGTGTAATTATTTTGTAGACTGGTACGTACTTTTGCTGAACATGGCAAAAGGGGGGGGGCGGAGGGAGGGGGGAGAGAAAACAGACAGGCAGACAGACAGATATGAAAAGAGATGGAGAGGGGTGACATGGCGAGGGGAGCTGAAAGGAAAGTGAAGACAGGAGAGAGAAGAGAGGTGAAGAAGAGTTGGAGAGAGAGAGAAAGAAGAGAGTGAATGAGGGAAGAAAGGGAAAAGGCAGAGATGTGTAGGAGAGATGGAGAATGGAACCGAGAGAGAGAGAGAGAGAGAGAGAGAGAGAGAGAGAGAGAGAGAGAGGGAGAGAGCTTGAGAACTGGTTAAGGGAGAGTGGGAGAAATACAAGGAAAGAAAAGAGAAGAGAAGCGTTTAGATTATAATTAACGTAGAAGAAAAAAAAAAACAATTACTGAGGTGTTCTTTCCCTTCACTATCTCCCTCTCTTCCCCTCCCCTCTCTCCTCTTCCCTCTTCCTTTTTATCTCCACTTCCCCATTTCATACCCAGTTCCCTCTCTTTTCATCTTGCTCTTTCTTACATGTTCAACAAAACTCCAGATCACTGTACAAAATGAATAAACAACGATACAGTCATCAATATTCTGTTTTTTCGACGCCTCCATCCTGTATATATAGATTCTATTGTAATAAGTCACCCGTCATGACGTCACGAGAACAGTCCAATATTTTATAGGGTGGTAAGACCGGGCTTTCCGGCTTTGTGGTGCTTTTAACTACCCCAAAACACCTAGAACTGGACCTTAACCCAACCCACCTACGTCCTACAAGAGTGTGCAGCCTATCTTTCACCTCCAGAAATACTGGACTGTCTGTTTAGGGTGAATAAAAACGAAAACATCTATATATATATATATATATATATATATATATATATATATATATATATATATATATATATATATATATATATATATATAATATATAAAGACTTGTCCGATGTGCATAGGGGATAATCTGTGGATTAACTTACTAACCAGCTAGCTAACTAACTATGTACTACTATGTGCCTAGTGGCACATGAGGCTTCAGAGAGGACTTTCTATGCTTTCCTGTCCTGTGCAATCTTCAGTGCAGTTTCCCATATCAAAGATGCCGCACTCAGGTCACTTTCCATCGTTCGTCTCCATGTTGTTTTTGGGCTCCCCTGTTTTCTCTTTCTATCTGGTGTCCATGTGAGCGCTGTTTTGGCAGGTATATCAGGATTCATTCTCATAACGTGGCCAAGCCATTTCCATCTTCTCTTGGTTATCATATTGTCTAAAATTTCTTGATTTGTGACTTGAAGTAGTTTAGTGTTTGAGATTGTTTCTGGCCAGAAAATTTTGATAATTCTACGTAGGCATGTGTGGTGGAAGGTGGACAGCTTGTGTGCATCCTTTTTGGTCATTCTCCAGCATTCCGCTCCATAAAGAAGAACTGGCAAAATCTCTTGTAGAGTCGGAGTTTCGTTCCTCTGCAGTAATTGTTGGATTTCCAGATTTGCCTCATCCTTCCAAAAGCAGCTCTAGCTTTGTTCAGACGTGACTGTATGTCCTCTTCAGTCCCTCCCGGCAGAGACACCACACTGCCAAGATATGTGAAATGTTCTACATTTTCACAGTTTGGTTATTTATGGTCACTGGTTGTTGGTTTGGACTGCTTGTCATGATCTTAGTTTTCTTTGTATTTATTCTCAGTCCCACCATTTCTGCTGTGCTGTGTAGTCTTTTACTTTTTTCTTCTATATGTTCATGTTTATTTGATAGGAGTTCTATATCATCTGCAAAATCAAGGTCCTCAAGCATGGTGAATGGTGTCCATCGTATGCCTCTCAATGTTCTGTTTACTATGTTCTTTAGTATCCAATCAATCACAAGGTTGAATAGGAGAGATGACATAACACATCCCTGTCTTACACATGTCTTTACTGGGAAAGATGTATTGTAATTTTTTATACTGCAGGAAAAGTCTTTATAGAAGAGAGCAATTATGTTGACTATTTTTTCTGGAATTCCATAATGTCGTAAAATTTTCCATAGACTGTCTCTAGACGCTGTCAAAAGTTTTCTCAAAGTCCACAAAATTAATATATATATACTTCTCTGCCATTCATTGCATTGTTCTAAAATGTTGCGTATGGCGAAGATGTGTTCAGTTGTTCCTCTGCCCTTTCTGAATCCTGCTTGTTCTACTCGTACTTTTATCTACTCCTTTTTCAAGCCGCATTATGATGATTTTACAAAATATTTTGCTTGTTACTGAGAGCAGAGTAATTCCCCTCCAATTATTGCAGTCTGTTAAGTCTCCTTTTTTGGAGGATTTTGACTATTGTTCCTTCAGTCCAGTCGTCAGACAACACTTCTTTTTCCCAAAAATCCTTGAACAATGGTTCTAGAATGCTAGTAGTTGTGTTGGGATCTACTTTGAGAAGTTCTGCTGGCAGTTCGTCGACTTCTGCGCATCCTGCTGTTTAAACCAGGTTACACTGTTACACAGGGCCCACCTATCTCTCAGCAGACCAGACCTGACCATCTGCTCATCCGACTTAGCAGACGCAAGCTATCCCCAAGTCCTGGACGACATAGGAAGTGACCACAAACCTATACTCACAACTGTAAGCACCACCCCTAAATTACGCTTCAAGCAGAGAACCCGTTGGAATTTCCGAAAAGCAAACTGGAAACTATTTCAGGAAACATCTGACTGCCTCCTGGGAAGAATTGACAACAGCTGTGTGGAAACTTTTTGTGAAGACATAACACAAGCAATCCTGAATGCAGCGTTGAAAGCCATCCCAAGGGGCAGCCGGAAGGCATATAAACCTTTTTGGAATCAAGAAATTTAAAATACTATATCTGAAAGGAATAAAGCAAGAATATTTCTCGAAACTGCACGTTCAACAGAAGCAAAGATCCAATACAATAAAGCATGTGCCAGAGTAAAGCTTGTAGTTAATAAGGCTAAAAGAGATAAATGGACAGAAACTTGCTCCAACTTAGACCTTAGACAGAATGGAAATAAAGCATGGACTTTAGTTAAAAACCTCTCCGGAGAAAGTAGAAGGGTGAACCCAAAACCAGTGACAGATGGGAGTAAGACAATCACTGAAGACAAGAAGAAAGCAGAACATTTCAATCATTATTTTGCCTCAGTTAACAGAGCAGGTAAGCTGTCAGAACTCAATAGAACACAGCTCTCTCAGTTGAAGAAACAAGAGAGAGCTCCAACAGCCAGCGACTCCCTTTTTGAAAATGAATTTAGCATGGATGAATTAGAGCAAGCCCTGAAGAAATTAAAACCTAGAAAATCTCCAGGCCCAGATAAGATCCACAACGAAATGCTGCTACATCTTGGCCGGTCTGGGAGAGAAGTAGTTCTCAGGCTTATTAATAAAACTTGGAGGTCAAGCAAACTTCCAAGGGCATGGAGGAATGCATATATCGTCCCCATCCTTAAAACCAAAAAGCCTCCAGATGACCCCAAAAGCTACCGCCCGATATCCTTAACATCATGCTTGGGCAAAGTTGCAGAAAGAATGATAAACAGGCGCTTATATTGGTTCCTTGAGAGTTCTGGTGTTCTATGCCATGAACAGGCAGGCTTCAGAACCAACAGCTGCACAGAAGACCAGCTGTTCAGACTGACACAAAGAATACATGATGGCTTCCAGAATAAGAAACACACAGTGGCAGTCTTTGTCGACCTCCAGCAGGCCTATGATAAAGTATGGAGAAAAGATCTCCAGATGAAGATGATGAGCATAGGAATACATGGCAGATTGTATAACTGGGTGAAATACTTCCTGATAGATAGAACAATCCAGACTAAGATGCACAACGCAATCTCTTCTAAAGAAGTCTTGGAGGAGGGCTTGCCACAAGGCTCATCATTGAGCTGTACACTATTCCTAATCTTTATCAATGACCTGCAAGAACAAATCAAGGCCGAAAAAGCCTTGTACGCTGATGACCTAGCAATATGGCAGAGTCATGAAAATGTGGAAAGTGGAGCCCAAAGACTGAATGGAGACCTTAGAAGACTGCATGATTACTGCCAAAGATGGAAACTCAAGATTAACTGTGCAAAGACGGTCTACACAATCTTTACCAAAAGCCACCAAGTAGCAAGGAAGAATATTAACCTGAGGTTAGACAAACACCAAGTGATGAAAGAAGAGCATCCCACATACCTTGGAGTCACACTTGACCCGCAGCTCAGCCTCAAGAACCATATTGAAAACATCAGGAATAAGGCATTGAGGCGGTTACAGTTATTAAAGAGACTTGCAGGTACATCATGGGGATCAGACAAGGAAACTCTGAGGGGCTTATACCTAGGATATGTTCGCTCTGTGATAGAGTACAACAACTCACTGCTTACAACTTGTTCCAAAACTAACCTAGAGACTCTTGACAGAGTACAAAATAATGCCCTTCGATTAATCTGCGGAGCTATGCAGTCTACACCAACTGCTGCATGTGAAATCCATACAAACGTGGAACCCCTCGGGTTGCGGAGAGAAAAAGCCACTTTAGAAATTTATGAAAGATGCGTTAGGAAAAATCGTAACCATCCTAATAGACATCTTGTAGAAAACTGGGAATCCAAACAAAGAATAAAGCACAAATCGGTTTTACACTGTGTTAATGAAATTCAGGACAGATACCACCTCCCAGAAAGACGTCAAGGAATTCAGAATGTTGCAAAAAACCTACCACCACATGCTCGCTTTAAAGCTCCAGAAGTCCAAACTAAATTGGTAGGCGAGGAAACCAAACAGTCCGACCCAATCGCTCTTATGAACTCATCACTAAAGACCGTTGATTCTTACCCCCAAGAATGGATACATGTCTATACTGATGGATCAGCATTTAAAGCTACCATTAAAGCAGGTTACGGAATCTACATAGGTTATCCCGATGGATCTGTTGAAGAGATTTTTGATGCATGCGGGGAATTCTGTTCAAACTATGAAGCTGAAATAATTGCACTGGAAACAGCAGTATACCACCTAAAGACTGTAATGGATGTTTACCCCTCAAAGGTCCAAAATATTGTCATCTTCACAGATTCAATGTCTGCCCTTCAAGCTCTGGAGGGCAATGAACGCTGCAGAACTGACATAGCCAAGATAATCCTGGATGCCGATCAGCTTATTACCTCATACAACATCAGAATAGTGATGCAGTGGATTCCAGGTCACTCCGGCACACCAGGTAATGACAGAGCTGACAGATTGGCAAAGAAAGGAGCAACACAAGAACAACCACCTACCGCGACAACCCTCCAGACAGCAAAAACACTGATAAGAGCTATAAACAAAGAGACTTGGTTGAACAGATGGGCCATGGGAGACACTGGAAGAGAGGTTTATAGACATATGTCTGGCCCTGATCCTAATGACAGCATTAACCATCTAACAAGAAGGGACCAGGCCACCATCTTCAGACTTAGAACGCAACATACTCCACTCAATGGACACCTAAACAGAATACAGCCACAACACTCCCCAGAGTGCCAGCTATGTAACTACCCCTACGAAACTGTTGAACACCATCTCTTTGAGTGCCCAAAACTCAGTGAGACAAGAAGAACGCTACTCCCTCAGAGACCAGACAAGTGGAACACCTTGTACGGAGGAAAAGAACAGCTTGTGAAAACATGCAAATTCCACTACATGGCATTGGGCCAAAGGGCGAAAGCTCATGCGCCGCTGGATCGATAACAACAACAACAACAACAAACCAGGTAAAGATGAACTCAAATACAGGAAACTGTGAGTCTACATCAACAACGTTGTCCTTATTATCACCATCTTTCTTGCTTCTTTCAACCGGCTCCTAGAATGAGCGTTGGTTATATCGAAGCGGTGTTTTGTTGTCTGGAGTTTTGTTCTCCAGTTATAGTCGTTTCTGTTGTGGCGATTTACATTTCTGCCTGAGGTTAGTTGCTTCTGTCAGAGTGAGGTAGGTGGGCGTGGCTTGGGCGGCGGACATGTGTCATCTGGTTGTGGGCTGTGAGGTTTCTCAGGGCTGGTGGGCGTGGTTGTTCAGCTGTCATGGCGGCTTGTGAGGTTTTCATTGGTTGCTGCATGAGGCTTTAAACTTGCTACTTCACGTGGGCGTCGTTTCCGTTTGAGTGGGCTGCTATCTTCGTTTTGTTGTTTCTTATGCTTTCGAGTTGAAGATGCCGGGTGGCCTCTTTGAGTTGCTTCACCTCCTTGTTTATTGCTGCGAAATCGCCTTTCAGGCATTCCTTGAGGATGTATAGGTCTTGTGTGCACTTCTTCTCTAGATCTCCGGGTTTCACGTGTGCGTCGTGGATCTGCCTTTTTCTGTCTTTTTCTTTCTTCGCGTTTTCTCTGGCTTCTATCACTCTGTGCGTGGCTTCGATTACACAGCTGAGTTTGTCGCATTCTTTGTTTGCCTCGGTTACCTCTGCTTTTGTTTTTGTCAGGTCTTTCTTGATGGTGGCTATCTCGGAAAGTATACTTTTCTGGTTGTCTTTCAGTTCTTTGGCGGCTACTGCATTTGTTTCCTTTAACTTCTTGAGGTCGGTTAGATTTGCCATCAATTCTGTTTTGAACTTTGCCATTTCTGTATTTTCCTCCTCGAGTCTCCTTTGGGTCTCGAGGGATGCCTGCAGGATGCTTCTCAGGTCTATCATCTCGTCCCTGTCTTGAGTCCTGAGTGCCACGATTCTTGCGTTCTCTTCTCGCAGGGATTTGATTTCGTCTCTCAGCTGCGTAATATCGTTGTTGTTCACAGCTGTCGGACTGGGCGCCTGATATCTTTGTTTCGGCTCTGGGTTGTGTGTGGTCCTGGTGGTGGTATTCGCCATCGCTCTCTTGACTTCTTTCAGGTACGGGCAACCCATGTACCTGGCGCTGTGTGCACCGGAGCAGTTGGAACATCTTCTGCTTGCGTTCGGCTTTTTAAAGTCAGGGTCCACTTTTGCCAGAGGGCATTCCCTGAATAGGTGAGGGCCGGAACAGTAACGGCACGAAGGGCTGCTGCGGCATGACGAGGCAGAGTGCCACGCCTTGTTGCAGCGAGAGCACTGCAAAACTTATGTGGTGTAGGCTCCCGGTCGTTGCTGCTGCTGCCTGAGTGGGCGGGTGTTGCTCGGTTCCTGCGCCACGACTGGGGCGGCTTCTAGGTAGACGGGTGCCTCGATAGGGCCCACATCCAGGGCTGGCGGCGTCTGGGTGTGTGAGGCTGGTGTCTCCTCCGGGTCGTCGACCGGTTCTGGCATCGTCAGTTCTGGTGCGGCGACAGGTGCTTCCTCCTTTTTGGCTGAGGATGCTCTGGTGTCCCGGCGCTGGACCGGATTCTTCTTACCACGGGCCATGGTTTCGTGTGGCTGAGGCTGGTAAGTCGGGCGGCAATTGATTGCTCGGTCCCTGCAGAGTCTGGCAAGGCTTGTTAGAGTATCCTGAGAAGGACACCCAAGCGTGCTTTTCTCCGCAGTTCTCGAGACAATCGTTAAAAAAACTGGCTGGTGTGACTGGCTCTACAACAATGATGTGCTCCCGGGCCGCTAATAACCCACCCGCAGACGAATAACAATAGCTTAGTCGAGCCAAAACTCAGCCGAATATCAAGCGAGTTCTGACCAGTATCTAGCTATTGATAATCTGGCTGCGAATGGATAGTTAGCAAGCTAACGAGAGACACGTGGCTGATCGGGCGGTAAATCGAGCGAGCGAGAGAGAGCTGTGTCCGACTGGGCTGTCTGCGCTGGACTGCTACCACCTCACTGATTCCCGCGTGTATTCCTCAATCCCCCTTTTAAAAGGTGGGCCGGGTGGGCCGGGGGTAGATTCAGCACTCTTAACAATTGCCATTAATTATAGGTTTACTTAATTTGTAGGCCGAAACGCGCAAATATCGAAATCTAACTGGAAAATAAGGTACGCCACTTTAAAAAAAATATATATATATATATTTTAATAATACAGATTAGGAGTACAGGAGGTGTGGAGGAAACGGATTGAGAGGAGGAAAGAAGAAGAACAAGAGCAAGAAGAAGAATAAGAACTACAACGACTACAAAATATAAAGAAAATACTTACGCATAAAACGCTTTCATCATTTTGAAATTCTTGAAGAAAGGAATACTGCGCATTCGCAACATGGCATTCTGCTCAAAGGACCACCGCTTTATGGACAAACATCGAGGTTCTTTCTGTAGAACAGAACAGCCATTGCTGTCAGCTCTCTCTCTCTCTCTCTCTCTCTCTCTCTCTCTCTCTCTCTCTCTCGGACATCATGCACGTGTAGATTGTACATGGTGATTGCGTGTATGTTTGATCAATAATATATGAGAATGTAGTCTCTAAATTAAATCTATTTATCTTTTTCAGATCAGATGACGTCACGGGGACAGTGCAATATTTTATAGGGTTGTAAGACCAGGTTTCCCGGCTTTGTGGTGCTTTTAACTACCCCAAAATTATTTATTGATTGTTGTGTTTAAAATCTGGAAGCCCTACAAACATGGCTGGACATTTTATCCTTCAGCGGCGTACACAACCAGCAGGAGGACTTCAAACAGTTTGAAAATCCATAGTTTGAGTTCCAAGATGGTTCTCTCATCGAATTTTAATTACATTTACAGATTACATTTCCATACACTGAAGAACGAAACCTTCAAATGTAGGACAAACTTTACCATCAATAAAAAAAAAAAATTTACCAGTATTTTTGAATAGATAGTTAGCTAGACAATTAATAAAAAAGCCGAACAATATCTTGAGGCACACAGATATCTTGAGGCCTCGCAGATGTGGTTTTATAGAAGAATCCTTAGAATTAATTGGACAGTTAAGAAGTTTTAAAATTGGATACATTGTTTTGCTTAGTCTCTTGTCTTAGTTGCCTACTGGATCTAAAAATCTGTCAGGTGGAGATTTAATATTCTTCTAAGACATTTGTTTTCACAATTGTTTAATTCTGTATTTAGAGTTATTTAAAGAGGTTTGCTACTAAAAAGGTGGGGGGGGGGGGGGGGGAATGAGATTGTACCCCTTTAATGTAACGAATGACGTTCTTCCGTGTCACCACGCAACAGTTGAAAATGTCCACCTTCCCAGGGTGCACAACTTGCATCAAATATGGCGTATAGTTTGGGTCGTCAGGTCGCAGTACTGGCGTCATACACAAGGAATCTGAAAGATAAAAAAAGACAAAGATAGTCCTCAACGGAGCAGAAATCTGCGGGCTTAGGTACGTTGAGCCATCGTCATACATGCACTTTACACAGTCTGGCTATTTTAGGATCCTTGCCGGTGCTACAGAGTTCGTGCACTGAGCTGAGACTCTTTGAACTCAGGCTTGAGTTAGAAGTAGAATGGAGCACTTATGTGTTATTATTAGGACTGTACAGAATAGTGATTTTCACTATTCGGCCGAATACGAATAACAGGACCAACTATTCGGCCGAATACGAATAGTGTATAGTCTACAAAATATATCTGGAAAAAAGACAAAACTCATTCATAATGTCAAATGTACGCTGACTTTTACTTCACATAAAGTAGCACAGAATAGTCATCTTCTTCATTAGCATTCTGAGCCCTTGAGGTTTACTGCTACAGATATCACTCGTCTCCATTCATTTCTTTGGCTGGCCTTCTCTTCACAATTTGTAACATCAATTGTTTGCAGGTCTAGCTGGATATTAACTTCTTTTTTTTGTCGGCCTCGTGGTCGACGCCCATTCCTCTCTCAGGTGTATACAGTTGTTACTTTTACCTCTCTGTCATCTGGCATTCTTTCAGTTGCCTCAACAATTTTAGCCTGTTAGCTCTCATGATGCCATTGATCAATGGTGATTTAAACAGATTGTGTGTTACGTTGTTGCTTCTCACTCTCCATTCCCCGCTGTTAGCATCTTTGATGGGTCCAAAGATTTGTCGTAAGACTGTTTTCGAAAACCTTTTATGAGGCCTCATCTCTTTCATTTCTGTTTCAAGTTTCAGAGCCATATAAAACGACTGGTCTTATGAACGTTTTATATATTTTGATCTTAGTGTTGCGAGACAGACACTTTGAATTTAGCAGATGTTAAAGGGCATAGTAAACTTTTTTCTAGATTGTATTCTAGATTGTAATTCTTCTCCCAGCATGTTGGAGCAGTTGAAGCTTGCACCCAAGTACTTATATCTTTCCGTTCGTTTGATTTTAATATTATCGACTTGGATGTGGCCGGAGTTTATATTATTTCCATGTCTAGTTAGTATTCGTACAGAATAGTAAACATTTAAAAACGTTTTATGTTTTGCATCCTTCAGTCAGTCAGGACGGATCAATATTTTCGCGGACGCGTTGACAGCTAATTAAAGTAAAGAGTAAAGAAAACTTTTATAGGCGTTATGGGTATATAGGGCTAGACTTATATTTTTATAGACCAGTCGGCACTCGGTGCATGATGTGGTTAGCATCACGCCGGCCCCCTGAACCTGAACCCACGACCTTCCGATCCGCAGGCGAACGTCTAGCCGCTACGCCACGGTGACTCCCGTTGACAGCTAATGCAAAAACACAAATCAAATAAAGAGATAGGATTATTTAGTGCCTCTCTCCGTCCGACAGTGGTAAGAAAGCCGATCGTCCAAAAAGCAATAGCAAACTACATAACGTAAATGTGCCTAGAAAAACCACACAACAGCCAGGGGATGTTGAGGTTGGTACTGCAACATCCTGTAAAGGATACGCAACAAACCTTAACCCGTTCAATAATGTGTATGGACTTATTTATTTCACTGGCTAGACATCAACGTGGCTGCTTCCGGATACGTCAGTTAGGTGATTTTGAGTATCAGTGTGGTTTTGTTTGATTTACGTATGTGCCGATGAAGGCTTTATAGCCGCAACGTTCATTTTTCCTTTGATTTGGTTATACTGTGAAGCTCGCTAATTTACTTTTCGTTCGGTTTTATATCCATGATAACATTATTAATGACGTTTTTATCCCTTCACATATTTGATTTAGTTAAAGATTGCTAAGAGCTTGGAAACCTATGTGTTTCTTACAAGGAATGTCTATTTGCTTCTTGTAGAAGTAGTTAGTTATATGAGTTTGGTGCTGTTATTGTCCCTTTTGGGCCATGGGTTGTGACCCTCTGGAGCTGAAAGAGTTAAATCATGATTGGGTGCACATTGGTACCTTTTGCCTAGTTCACCGCAAATCGAAAACGGCGAGATTGATATCGTGGTGTGTTCCCGGAAACGCCGAATAATAAAATATTAACACACACAAAAAAGGGGGGGGGGGGAGGGTTAGTGTCAACCAGTGTTTATTTCACACATTAACACCTTTTTACTATTTGACTTTTACGGGGACTTCCAATGAAATCTCTAGTCACTGAGAGGGGGTGAATTTAAAGAAAAAGGACATGCAATATGCTGACGGCCCGGGATTTAGGCGGACCGGCACCCACCGGTTAAAGAACAAAGTTCTAGGCTATCATTCTGTTGTCAGTACAGGTAGCTTCAGGTGGCGTGCAAGTTCCAGCCTGGTAGTCTGTAAGTCGAGAGTCGACGCGGCGGAACGGCTAGAAGCTCTACTGCAGATCGGAAGGTCGTAGGTTCGCTTCCTGGCGGAGCCATACTTTTTTCAAAAATGACCTTGACTCTCAGGTCGACCCAGCCTTGTGTGGATACCATAAGCAGTCATGGGAAGTAAAGGCGGCCGGCGTGATGCTGACCACATCACCCATCTTGAGCCGATTAGTCTATAAAATATAGGTCTAGCCCTATATGCGCTATACTCCTAAAGGCGTGGAAAAGGGTCATTGACTTACTTTTTACTTACTCTGTAAGATAGCTCTCGTGGCTCAAATATAAAACTTTGTTACGACCTTAAAATAGATAGTTTCCCCTTGTAATGTATGCTACTCGTTAATCTGTCAGAATAGTAAACAAAGTGCAATAAAAAAAACACCTTGATGTTTGTTACTAATAAATACATACAGTGTAAAAATAAACAGGAGACAGGAAAAGAGGAAAAAAAAGGGGGGGGGGGTGGTTGGATTGACGAATAGGCTGACCCACTTACAGAAAGAACGAAGATACACACATAACTAAATCAAATCAAATGAAAACAAAACAAAGAAAGATGTAGACGCATAAAAAAAAACAAAATAGAAACAAGAAAGAAAGAAAGAAAGGAAGAAAGGAAGAAAGAAAGAAAGAAAGAAAGAAAGAAAGAAAGAAAGAAAGAAAGAAAGAAAGAAAGAAAGAAAGAAAGAAAGAAAGAAAGAAAGAAAAGAAAGAAAGAAAGAAAAAAGAAAGAAAGAAAGAAAGAAAGAAAGAAAGAAAAGAAAGAAAGAAAGAAAGAAAAAAAGAAAAGAAAAAGAAAGAAAGAAAAAGAAAGAAAGAAAGAAAGAAAGAAAGAAAGAAAGAAAGAAAGAAAGAAAGAAAGAAAGAAAGAAAGAAAGAAAGAAAGAAAGAAAGAAAGAAAGAAAGAAAGAAAGAAAGAAAGAAAGAAAATTTACCTCACAACACTCCTTTTGTTTAAAACAGGCGAAAGAAAGACAGAAAAGAATTACATTTAGTCAGATCAAAACCAAAGAACGAGAGAAAAACGGAAGGAAAGATATAAAAGGAAGGAAGAAAAAAGAACAAGAAAGACGCACAGACAGACAGACAGACAGACAGACAGACAGACAGACAGACAGACAGACAGACAGACAGACAGACAGACAGACAGACAGACAGACAGACAGACAGACAGACAGACAGACAGACAGACAGACAGACAGACAGACAGACAGACAGACAGACAGACATTACCTAATGAGGGATGAGCATCCAAGATTCGCAGAATCAACTCTGGGTCGGTGATGCCTTCTATGGATGGGACTCTGCAGAAACTGGTCTCAATCTTACGAAGGTCTGGTAAGGACCATTTCACCAGCAGGTCACTCACTGCACCCTGCGTGCAGAAACCAGCGTCAACATTGATGAGTCCAAAGATGCCCTGTAAGAGTTCTTTCGAAAATATGTATTAACGCTTCTTCTTTATTAGTTGTGCTTCAAGTTTCAAAGCCATATTAAAAATTAAAAATTAAAAACTAACAAGGAGTGATGTTACATACGTAAAGTTACTATCCCGGGGTAGGAGCTTGTCCTACTACTAGGCGCGTCTACCAGGTGGCGGATGGTGGAAAGGCCTCTAGATATACAGGTAAGCCACGAATAGATTGAATAAGTGGCCGTGGACCAAAACAGGTGATGGTCATTGAGAGGATGCGAATTAGTTGGTGTGACAGCCAACTCTATAAAATACCTCAAAACTCTACGACATGGCCAGCGGCGTGTAAAAGGCGCCATTACCTCTCCCACCCCCCCCCCCCGGGCTGCCTTGCAGAGTAAGTCTCTTTAGACAAAGGCTATTGGAGTCAAACCATATACAAACTGGCGGAAGGCAAGGGTAAACCACCGCTGTATTATCCCTAGTCAATCATGCCTCAGAATATTGCGAATTCAGGTCAGTCTTGTTGCATGGCATGGAGGTGTGTCGGCACACGAACTGATGCATGCTGCAGGAGATCGTGGATTATGGAGATGCAAGATTTCCCACGCCAGTCGGCAAGGCACCTAATGATGATGATGATGATGAAAATTTCTATGGAACCAAAAAGCAAAAGAATGGTGTCAACCAACTCACCCGGTCCAGATGCTCTGACTGACGTCTGGTGACTGATGGCAGCACTGGAAACGTATTAGGATCGTCTACAGAACTATCGTAGCTCCGCACTTGGGCTGTTACCTCCTGCAGGCAAACAGACACGTTCTACATTGGATGTTCAGTAGATCGAGAGATAGATAAAAGGGCAATGATACCCGGTGAGACCCTATTCTATTATGCATCTATCCACCCACTTGGAGGAGTAGCCAAACCTCTTACCAAGTCATCTGTCCACTCAACAGCAGCAACAGCAGCAACAGCAGTAGAAGTAGGGATGGTAGTAGTAAAAGTAGTAGTATTAGCGTTAGCAGCAGTAGTAGTTGTAGTAGTATGAGTAGTAGTAGTAGTAGTAGTAGTAGTAGTAGTAGTAGTAGTAGTAGTAGTAGTAGCAGCAGCAGCAGCAGCAGCAGTAGTAGTAGTAGTAGTAGTAGTAGTAGTAGTAGTAGTAGTAGTAGTAGTAGTAGTAGTAATAGTAGTAGTAGTAGTAGTAGTAGTAGTAGTAGTAGTAGTAGTAGTAGTAGTAGTAGTAGTAGTAGTAGTAGTAGTAGTAACAGTAGTAGCAGTAGTCGGGGTAGTAGTAGTAGTAGTCGGGGTAGTAATTATATTAGTAGAGTTAGTAGTAGTAGCATTAGTAGATGTAGAAGTAGTAGTGGTAGCAGCAGCAGCAGCAGCAGCAACAGCAGCAGTAGTAGTAGAAGTAGAAGTAGTAATAGTAGTAGTAGTAGTAGCAGCAGCGATGTTGATCTTGGTAGAAGTGGCAGTAGTAGTAGTGGTGGTGGTCTTAGTAGTAGTAGTAGTAGTAGTAGTAGTAGTAGTAGTAGTAGTAGTAGTAGTAGTAGTAGTAGTAGTAGTAGTAGTAGTAGTAGTAGTAGTAGTAGTAGTAGCTGTTGTTGTTGTTGTTGTTGTTGTTGTTGTTGGTGGTGGTGGTGTTGCTGATGTCGTAGAAGAAGAAGAAGAAGAAGAAGAAGAAGAAGAAGAAGAAGAAGAAGAAGAAGAAGAAGAAGAAGAAGAAGAAGAAGAAGAAGAAGAAGAAGAAGAAGAAGAAGAAGAAGAAGAAGAAGAAGAAGAAGAAGAAGAAGAAGAAGAAAGAAGAAGAACAAGAAGAACAAGAAGAAGAAGAAGAACAAGAAGAAGAACAAGAAGAAGAACAAGAAGAAGAAGAAGAAGAAGAAGAAGAAGAAGAAGAAGAAGAAGAAGAAGAAGAAGAAGAAGAAGAAGAAGAAGAAGAAGAAGAAGAAGAAGAAGAAGAAGAAGAAGAAGAAGAAGAAGAAGAAGAAGAAGAAGAAGAAGAAGAAAAAGAAGAAGAAGAAGAACCAGAAGAACAAGAAGAAAAAGAAGAACAAAAAGACCAAGAAGAACAAAAAGAAGAAGAAAAAGAAGAAGAAGAAAAAGAAGAAGAAGACGAAGATATAGATAGTTATGATGAAGAAGCAGACGTGACGATCTAACCTCTTCCTCTTCCGGTGGCATCGACCTGCTTTCCATGGTCGCCATGGCAGCAGCGATGTTTGACGACTGACTGAGAGCGTCTCTTAAACCAGGAGGTGGCTGTCGCAAGTTGCCTTGTCCCGCCATAGTGGCCGATTGATCTGTTGCGGGTGGTCCTGCCAGGAAATACTCGACTACTATTACTACTACTACTACTACTACTACTACTACTACTACTACTACTACTACTACTACTACTACTACTACTACTACTACTACTACTACTACTACTACTACTACTACTACTACTACTACTACTACTACTAGTACTACTACTACTACTACTACTACTATTACTACTATTACTACTGATGCTACTGCTACTACTACTATTATGCTACTGCTGCTACTACCACTAACACTTCTGATGCTGCTGTTGCTACCACTACTTCTACTTTTAGTATACTACGGCTACTGCTCCTACTCATACTACTAATGCTAATACTACTATTGCTACTACTACTACTACTACTACTACTACTACTACTACTGCTGCTGCTGCTGCTGCTGATACTGCTACTACTGCTACTACTACTAACACAATCACTACTACCTCATTGCTTTGATCCATGCATTCTATAGCATAGATGTACAACTCTTTGACACATCTGTTACCATATAACACAAACTGTCGGTAACAAATAGGAAGACGTGCACTATATAGCATAAACTGTGTAACTATTGCTGATTTAAAATCTGCATACTGTGATCAATAAACCCAATTGTCTGTTTATATGAACACATAACCCATCTGTTTTGGACTAAAGGTTTCCCTATTCATTGTCCATAACTGAAAATGATATTACAAAGTGGGAGGGTTGAATCGTGAATGTTGAATTACGAATCGACATCACAGCACTTGGGACCCCATAAGCGCTTCGTCCCCATCCTGAGCAGCAAGGGAAAAGTTCAGATTCCGATGGCACCAGTAACTGTCTGACGGTATAACAGTCCCGTCTTTCCCTTGGGTGTCGAGCGTCTTCCAGTTTCCCTGGTAACTACTCACAGCGTCCTTCTCCCCAGACTCTAATGGTAGACCTCCCCACTGTTCACTCGCTCCCAAATTGTCCGCACAACATCTAGCTTGTCATACATCAATTCACCACCAAGTGGTGCAGAACTGGCCAGTCTATCCGCCTGCTCGTTTCCTTACACACCGGCATTTTCTGGAAAAAATATCCAAAGGACGCTCACTACCCGAAAAGGAAGACGCTATTAATCAATGGATGGTCTGCTGAAAGGGAGCAATTTGAGTGTCTGAGCAGTCATATCAACATCGACAGGTGACAAAAAAAAAAAAGCTAATCAAAATAAAATACTGGGTTCGAACCTGGACGAGAACCACCGACAGGCGGGTTAGAGATCTGCCCACGCTGCTGCAGATCTGGGAGCTGGCGGATGACCCCGTGCTGTATGAAGTGAGCGTCACTGAGAAGCAAGTGTTGCACTCGGGCCACGTTCTCCGAAGAGACAAAACTCGGTCGTTGGACAACAGGAAGCGCAGTATCTAGACCTAAAGCGATGATACGGTGTCTTTCTGCAAATCGAGGCCAAGGTTAAAAAACGTTAGTCTCCCCAAACAAAGTACGCCATGTTCCAAGGAAAAGTTGAGGAGAGTTGAGTCAAGAATTGACGTCAAACACTCGGGGCATTCCCATGCATGCTCTGTCCTCATCTTCAGCAGCTAGTGCAAGAGTTTCAATACTTATGGTACTGGTCACAATGTGGTTAAAAGTCCGTTTTGCCTTTCCTCTGGGTGTAGTGCGCCGGCCAGACCCTCTGGTTACACCCAGCTGCCTCATTCTCTCCAGGCCATAATAATCTGTTATCTCTACTGATTCTGTTGCTTGTTCCCAAAGGGCCTTGACCACATCTGCCTTGTTATGTATCAATTCACCACCCAGTGGTGCAGATCAAGCCAGTCTGTCTGCCCGTTCATTACCCATCACTCTGGCATAGCCTGGTGCCAGCACTGTGCTTTCAGTGCCAGATATGGACATTATTAAAGGCTAATGTGCGTGCAATCGACGTTTGTGAAATGAGATGCACGAGAAAAGCCGTCAGTGTAATGATCTTAGACAAGCCACAAAAAAAAATATTATCAGACACACTGTAGAAATAATACATGAAGCAAAGTATTCGAGAAACAGAAGATCAAATGGTTTGGTCATATAGCAAGAATTCAGCCAGAATAACTATCAGTGCAAGCTCTACACACAAAGAAATCTGATGGGAAAGCCAGAGGTCGCCCAAGGAAAGTATGGACTGATGTTCTAAACGAGCTTCTGCATTGATATAAAAACAATAGCGATAGCCGAAATTAGAACTTTTCCCTTGCTGTTGCAGTTAGGGACGGAGCACTTATGGGAGTGTACTGATGTCGATTCCTAATTCCTTACTGCCAACTTCTATGACAAAGTTATTTTCACAGTGGGAGGTTTAGGTTTGGTTTAGGCTTGAACAACAGACCGACATCATGACACACTGGTCGTAACCCATATGTGCTCCGTTCTACTTCTAACTCAAGTCTGAGTCCACATAATGTCTCAGCTCAGTGTACGAGCTCCGTAGCACTGGCGAGGCTCCTTAAATACTTTGGGTAGATTTTTAACTCTAAATTTTGCCCGAGCAGCGCCGTCTTTTCGATTTCCAACTGTCAAAGGATATTTTACGTGGTCAACAATACACACGGGCGTCTGATCTCACTACCCAGCGACTAGGAGAAATTACTAGAAGTCGACGTGAAAAAAAAAATCCCAGCCTTCTCCAAAGGCTGAACCCGGTACCTCCAGCACTCAAGGCGGATGCTATGCCTCGACACCAAGCAGCCCCACTGGCAGGAAATGCTGACCCACGCCTACCCTCTTTCTTTGTAATCCGGACCTGCCAGCGTTAAGATAACATAGAGAGAGCTTATATAATTAAGGCTGTGCAGATTACGCTAGTGGATAACGTGTCTCAGACGCTAACACAATTACGTGACCTGAGAGAAAAATCTGCTGATGCACATTAACGACGTCTTCGATAACAACCAAGGATACACTATAACCAACTTCTCATGGAGATTTTTCTTCTGAGTTCACCTTGTAAAAGGCGGTTAGTGTTGTTGGTTACAGCTAGTCTGCGATCTCTGCGCCTATGATCACCTTTTACTGCCTGCTTATTAGGAGAGATGGCATGTCTATTTCCACTCCCCCCCCCCTTATAACCCCCCCACCCCCCCCCACCCACCCACCCACCCCGCTCGCCCGCTTACAATGGTACATGGAACCCCGCACTTAAGGATGGCTGTCGCATCAGAGGAATGAACACACATGTCTAACGTGCGATGACGTAGAACTGAGAACATAAGATAACACCTTCAGCCAACTGAATATCGTTACAGTATAGCAAACCCAAAGTGGAGTGAGTGACATTCAACTCCACCAGGACTACACAACGAGCGACTAACACCCAGTGACACAAAGTCTCACTATACGGTACAAGTCTCCGAAACCTTACTTAACCGTTAGGCTATATTAGGACAACCTACTACATACTGAGTGGGGCTTTGACATTAAAAAAAAAAAAAATCCGTTCCATAGTCTCTTTCTTCTTCTTCTGCCTTTCTAGCCCCCAATGGTACATAGGCCTTTAACCAAATTACGCCAAGTCGTTCTATCCTTTGCTATAGCATGCAGCTCTTCCTGGGGAGCTACGTGGCCTCGAGGCATGGTATCCGCCTTGAGTGCTAGAGGTCCTGGGTTCAAGCCCCGGTGAAGGCCGGAATTATTTTCACATGGATTTCTAGAAATTTCCCCTGGTCACTGGGTAGAAATATCGGACGCCTGTGTGTATTATTGCGCATGAAAAAACGATACGGACCGGGCAAAATTTGGAGTTTAAAAATCTACCCAAAGTATTTTAGGATCCTCGCCGGTGCCACGGGTTTCGTGCACTGCGATGGGATTTTCTGACCCAGGCTTACGGAGCACTTATGGGTTACACCAGTGTGCCATAATGTTGATTCGTCGAATAAACATAAATATGCAGCTCTTCCAATGTCCTCCCCATCTTTTTAACTTTACTCTCTAGCTCTCTACTCCATGTTTTTTTTTTTTTTTTCGTGTTATGTTCGGGCTAGGTTAACTAACCTAAAGGTTAGGTTAGTTGCGTATCCTTTAAGGACGTTGCAGAACAAACCCCAACAGCTGTTGTGCGATTTTTCTAGTAAAATTTACGTCCAGTAGTTTGTTATTGCTTTCTGGACAACCTAGATGTACTGACCTGTATTATCAGGAGACGACCTGACTTGGTGCTGCGCGGTCCTGTTTGACAGATGATCTACTGCAGTTCTCTGGGAGAAATCGTTGACTGTACGTGCAGCATCGTCTGCGGACCTTGCCTCGTTGACTGACATCGTAAGCCACAGTCTGCAAACATATTCGAGCTAAAGTCGAGGCGTGCTAAATACAACACAAAATGGGACTAGAAAGCTCAGCAAGGGAATTGAATAGACGTGTACAAATACAACTGAACGCTTCGACTAATGTCTTCATCAACGGAAGACTAAATACAACATTAACTATAACTGGAGAACTCAGCAGACAAGACAGCAGAGCTTCTTAAAGATCCAGGTCAATGTGAAACCATTAAATGCATAACGGGGAGAAAATATGGAAATGAAGGGCAATATTACGAAACAAAATCAGTCACAAGGCGTCTAAAAAAAGAAGAAAATATGAGCAAGTGAAATTCCTTTTTCAAAAACTTAAATGAAGCTGTGTTAAATATTTATTTCTCAAAGACTGAGAACACTACAACCGAATTACATGATTTTCTAATGGTAGCGGCTGGTTTGATCCCCGGAGCAAGATTTAAGTGCAGTAACTATTATATTTTTCATCTTAGTCAGAACTGTTAGGAGGCATATTAAACATATTAATCTTCTCATGGAAGGAGTATTTAGAGGCAGTGGTGCTGACAAAAGGAAACACTGTTGGGGTTGGGGGTGGGGAGGGGATACACATTCAACTCATAGCGAGTAATGGGACAATCGTGAAACCTAAACCCTAATTAAATGTGGAATAATACTAATATTAAAGCTTATTATCGTTACTATTATTCCATCTATTGTCTTTCTGTGCTTAGTGATGGTGGTTTCGCAAGCACGGCGAACGATCTGTTTCTGGCATAGTGCGTGATTGGTAGCTGGCCGCGTGGTGATATTGTTGAGTTTTAGCAAGCTGTTAACTCTGTGTATGCATGTTCTTCTTGCCTCTTGATATTTCTCTTCTCATGATGCATGCTCTTGCAGCCAGTGACGCTGGGTCTATTCCAATCATGTGATAAAACTATTTCGGTCTGCTGTTATTATTATTGTTTTTATAATTATAATTATTTATTATTTACCTCTAACAATAATATTGTCATATTACTGTAATTATCCTCATTATTATTATGTTGAAAGGCAAACAGATATCTTCTTCTTCTTTGCTCTCATCAGCTGTAAACTCCGGCGGAAGGTTCTGGTTGTTCAGCCACCTCTGGACTTTGGACTTGTTCCAGAATCTGACTGGTGCGTGCACATCCATTTTACAGATCTGATTTATTTGTGTGCAGACTGTTGTTTTCTAGCCTCTCAGACAGATGCGCATCACCCATCTTGTGCGGATTGGTCTAAAAAATATAGGTATAGCCCTATATGCCCTATAAGCCTAAAGGCGTCGAAAAAGGGACCTCTACTTTATTGATTAAATGTTTTAGTAATCATAGTTACAGATTTACTCCTTTTAATACTTTCACGCCAAAGAACATGACTCCATATTCCTGTCTAGACTGATGGACATGGGGATGCAGCCTGGAGCTGCAAGAAATGAACATTTCACTAAGGGGACAAGACGTTTCATTAACCAACATAGAACAGGCGTCATCAGTCGTTTTACACTTGTGGGGTTTTTGAGGAGGAGATCGGAGCACTTATGGATCTGTCCGGAGTGCTGTGATGATAATCTTTTCTTCTAATCACTAATACGTATTGTACATTTTGTACTTTCAGTATATTATAACTTTAACCCGTTCTAATGACTGTGGTGATCCACCTGCTCCTCCGAACTGTGTACGCTCTCCCACAAGGCACTAACCACGACTGCCTTATCATGCATCAGTATTCCACCAAGTGCAGAGCCAGCCAGTCTGTCCGCCCGTTCATTTCCCAACACGTAGGAGTATCTCGGTGGAAAAAAAAATCCAGACATTACTCCTCACCCGTGTCCTCCGCAGTGAAGCATGACTCTCTGCACCAAGCATGCCTGTCCTGACCTTCCTTAGCATGCTTTATGGGTCAGTTACAAGCACGATGTGTGTGTGTGTGTGTGTGTGTGTGTGTGTGTGCGCTCGCGCGCGTGCGAGTAAACAGTACGAAGGCATAAATAGATCATTACGGTCTCATGAGAATGGCGTTGCGGGGAGTTACCAGAGGTTCCAGCAGCCGCTCAACACTCAAGGGAAAGTCGAGACGGATATACAATCCGACAGTTACTTGTACCTTCGAAACTGGAATTCTTCAGTTTATGTTGAAGATGGGGACGGAGCGCTTATTGGAGTGTCCCGAGCGCTAAGATGTCGATTCTTCATTCAACATTCAATACCGTTAGAACAATTGGCATACAAACACACAAACACTTACCATCAGTCTGGTCTGTGGAGAAACATACGCTGGCCTTATAATCTGGATTGATTCGAAATACTTTTTCAACAGAGTCGGGAAAATGTTTTAAATATGCCCGAAAAGGCAATCCCGTTGAGTAAGAGGCGCCCTATTTGTGAGTCAACTATAAAATATATGAAAGGAAGCGGTGTTCATATGTATAAACGTGTGGAGAATTTAAATTTTCTGGCGATGTTTTAAAAAAAGTTCACAAAGGATCTTTTGCTTTCACCTAGAAGCCGATGAATGCCTGCGAAACTGGTGCCTCGTCCTCTGGGCCACTGGAGGTGATGGAGGTGGCAGCAGCAAATGGCGGTTGACCACTCGAGGATGTCCAGGGGCCAGTTCGATTACGAAATGCTCAGGTGGCGCCAAAGCTTGACCTGGAGCATGGGGCGCTGGGGGAGGTAACGGGCGTGGAGTCGGCGGAGTGCGAGGAGGTGAATGATGACCCCTAGACTCAGTCACGGATTGGAAAGCCACGCGGGTAAAGGCGCTCGGAGGTGCGGGGTTAGGACGGGTTTCAAGGACAGGAACGTTAAACGTGTGGTGATTTCGAGCAACACCACTTGTACTGGGATAATTCTCCTCGGGTGAGTGCTGCGGCTGGGGATCGCTTGATGTCGACGGCTGAGGAAAAGTAGGCCGAAGACGCCGTCTTCTATTTGGCGCCTGCTGGTTTCCGCTCCTCTGTGGTACGTTAGCAATGACGCTTGTCTGACCTAGAAATGACTGCCGATTATATGGGTTGTTGTTTGTGTCAGATTGTGGGTAAGAGGAGATTAACAGACTCGAGAAAGCATCCAAAGCCGAGGATGCTAGAGATACTAAAGTAGACGGCGAGGGGGGTGTTAAAACCGCAGCAGGCGTCAGGTAAACAGAAGAAGTAGGAGATTCTTGTGCTCCCGTAGAAACAGGTCTAGAGGCCGGATAATCTGCAGAAAATTGGCGAGAGGTCGATGGAACATTACCATCGTTCAGTTCTTCATCCTCTTCTTCGTCAGTATCCCTGTTCTCCGGCTGGCCATCGACCGGCGATTCCCAGTGACAACCAGGTCTCAGCTGCAGACTGGACGCTTGTCCACTTAAGTCAAGGGGGGAAGCTGTTAATGTTTCAAACTGCAAGAAGTTCTGCAAGGGCGTTACATAGCTGCTAGTGGAAGGCGTATCAAAGTCTTCTGAACTGGTGGAAGGCAAGGATAACTCGTTGACTAAATGTGGATCTATGGTCAGTACAATTTAAATAGCCCTAGACAGACTACCAAAGTCTTCAGGAGTCGTTTGAGAAAAGGATACCTCTTTGGCTGTAAGGAACTATGGCAGTTAACATATTCCTCTGAGTATCAAAGTCATCAGAACCTTTATGACTAATTTTTCTTTAAATGTCAGAGTAATGAATGCACTTCGAATCATCAGTATGCAAAATCCGTGACTGTGTAAGAAAGTCTCCAAAACTGGCTAAAGGACAAGATACCTTTACAAATAGTTATGGACTTTGTTAATGCAATTCGAGATATTCCTCACCCGAGATATTCCTCAATCTTTATAACTGGTTAAATACAAGGATACCACTTTGACTAAGTGTTGACTTACGATAAATGCTGAGAGTGGTTATCAAAGTACTCAGTACTGGCTGACATTAAAGAAATGTCAGTGATTAAATAAGATTTATGGTCATCGTAATTCAAATATGCCTCTAGGATGTGTCAAAGCCTTCAGAATTAGTTGGGGGAAAAATGCGACCCCGTCGACTAAATCTGCATCTATGCTCAAAGCAATTCAGATATGTCTCAATTTATTAGGCCCCTCATTTTTTTACGAACTCACATTGTAGTTCATATTTTCTCTAACTTATAATTAATTTTATTTAAAAATCCCTAAATGCGTAGGAATGAGCAACACTCCAAATGCCGGTACGTGTCTACTTGTATGAATAATCACAGAAAGCAGATTTGAAGCAGAAAATCAGAAATTCACAAGCCTCTTTTCAAGTAATCCACTTTAGGGGAAAATGTGGAATCGTTTATATGTGCCCTGTTAGTTTTCTAGATGGTGGATGTTGCGGGTTCGATTCTGATGCAACTTCATTCGGAACTTATATTTGAAGAATCATTGTTGGGGAATACCTCTAGGGTTGTTAAACATCAGACGCGCCGAACCTGAAGAAAAAAAACAGAAACAAAAACACAGTTTCTGAAAAACGGTTAATATTTTATATATATATTTAGTTATTTATTTATATATATCATCATCATGTATTTACTTTTCATAATATTTATGGACAATATTAATAAAATAGACATAACACCAACAGATGTCGATAAACAGGAGGACTTCAATTAGCTGCTCTTTGCCGACGATCAATGCATATTTCACAGTGATAGTAAACAGCTGCAAGACCACATGAACCTACTACACGACAGTTGCCTCAAGCATCATATGAAGATCAATACTGAAAAGACAGAAGTCATGAGCATAAGTAGAGAGCAACAGACCATCGACATAAAGATTCTAGATCACAGCCTAAAACAAGTGCAAGAATTTAAATACCTGGGAAGTATCTTTACATCCAATGGTAAAATAGACAGAGAGATTGAAGCAAGAATCCAACAAGCCAACAATGTCGCATACCAGCTTGCCCCAATTTTAAAACACCCTGCTGTCCCAGCTGAGATAAAAAGACAAATTATAAATACAATCTTTATACCGACATTAGGTTATCAATGTCAGACTTGGACATTAACAAAAGAACACGAGAGAAGACTAACCACCTGTGAAATGAGACGTTTGAGAATGGCTGCGAATAAAACCAGAAGAGATAGAGTGAGAAACGATGTGATTACAAGAACTATTGGAACCATACCCATCGTTAAATTTATTGAGAAGCAAAGAATGAAATGGTTTGGTCACCTAATGAGAATGGAACCAATGATGCCAGCATCAAGAGCATACAACATGAAAATCGAAACAACAAGAGGCAGGGGAAGACCAAGAAGAAGATGGATTGAAGGAGTCACGGACAACTTGAGACTTCATAACATCACGGCATATGAAGCGACTGAGCGCGCCCTGGCTCGGTTGCCGATCATCTGATAGACTGCGACGCCTAGCGGCAGAAGCAGATTTTGACAAAAGAAGAAGAAGAAGAAGATCATCATGTAGCAGGTCCTTTGCAGAACGTTGCTCTCATCACAGTCTGCATGAAAGAAACTCGTTCTCTCGCCAGCTCTCCAGCCTCATGTACTTTCATACTCAAGGAATCACTTATATCCTGTGCCCATCTTCATGTCGGTCGGCCCCTGCCCCTACTTCCTGGTACCATGCCTTCTGCTATAATTGTTTTCCAATCCGTCGTGGCGCTTGATATGACCAAAATATTTTTAGCCTTCGAGAAAGGATGCTGTTTATTAGCCAATCTTCCTTGATGTTCAGATCTTTTAAGATGTCAATATTTCTCATCTTCTTTGTCCAAAATATTCTGACAATCTTTCTATAGCATTTCAGCTCAAAAGCCCCTATTCTCTTTCGTAAGGACTGAGAGATAGTCCACGACTCACAGGGAAGATGCATGTTCTCACAATTCTAATTGGGGTCCAAATGGAAAGTTTTGGGAAATGCCATATTAGCCTCTCTTGCTCAAGCCTACCTCACATTTACGTGGTGGACCCTGTTCTTCCCAGCAGTCCAGTTAAAGGTTGGGGTCTCAACCCCCAGCGGGAAACTGGATGGGACAACAAACGTGGTAAAGGCGAAAAACGAAGGGATGAGCCTACTCTCCTCGAGTTTGACCACAGTCTACCCTTGCAAAACAAGGTGCTGAAGTCGGAGGCAACCAGCCAGGAGGCGCACCACAGCAATTAGGATGCTACGCACACACGCCACGAAGGCGAACGAAAGAAGAAGAAGAAGACAATTCTAATTTTGATCTCCTTGCTGGTGCCATAGACTTTTAAGACTGTTCAATCTTTGCATTGCTATGGCCATCATCCTTTTAATTTCTGTCGAACAGTCTTAATTGTTGTTTATTACAGAGCCTAGATATTCAAAATGTGTGACATTTTTAATTTCTCCATCATTTTTTGTTATTTTTGGGTGAAAAGCCAGTTTTATCTGTTGACATTATTTTCGTTTTCTTTAAATTCAGGAACAGATTTAGATCTTCACTGCGCTTTTTGACAGACAATATTAAATGATCTATTTCCTTTATGATGTTCGAAAGGAGGACTGTGTCATCTGCGGAGTTCCGAAATAGGGTTGCCACCAATTTTGAGCGGATCATAACTGTCACAAGTCTGGTCATTTTTGACATTTCTCAATATATTTTCTGGGTATATATTGAATAGGTAGGATGAGAGAATGCACCCCTGCCTCACCCACTTTTTCACCTCGAAACCAATCAGATGTTTCACCAGCTGCTCTGATGGCTGCTTGTTGTTCGTGATAAAGATTTTCAATTCAATGCACTAAATGTGCTGGAAACCCCATACTTTTCATAATAGTCCACAGTGGCTTCCATGATGAGTTTCTTGGGATAGTAATGTGGCAGTTTGCCGTTGCTTTCCACATCCACGTGGATTTAGACTTCATACTCAGCCTTCAGCAACCTTTTCGATTGCTAGGGCAAGTGAGTGCCCTGCTCTGTGATGCTCCTGCTAACAGCAGAGGGCACCTCAGAGGTGTTCACTTATTCCGGCGGATACTCGGTCCCCATAGCTGCGTTGGCCACACCGCAGTGTGTTTACCGTCCTCTACCGCGTGGAGATGCAGTTGGGGTTTCCCCTTCACTGAGACCAGAATGGCATTTCCCAAAACTTTCCATATATATATATATATATATATATATATATATATATATATATATATATATATATATATATATATATATATATATATATATATATATATAAAGCATTGTTAGATAAAGCAAAAACTGATAAAGTATTTTTTAGTATAGCCTTTTTTTAACTGATGATAATTAACTTATAAAGTACGACAACTTTATCAAAATAATTAAGTAGAAATGATGTTGAAGACCGGTTAAAAGAACAAAATATATTATTCATGATTAAGTACGCACAATTTATTAAGCATGATTAGGTTGGAACAATTTTATAAAGCATGATTAAGCAGAACTTATTGTATATCAAGCTCTAAAATCAGAGTAATGAATGTCATCTGACTGTATATAACAAAAAAATCTGGGCTTCTGTGACCACTTCAGTTGTGCATTTATTCATTTTCTTCCTCCTCCTCCTCTTCTTCTTCTTCCTCTTCTTTTTCTTCTTCTTCATTTTCTTTTCTCTATTAGGATTCTTTTTCTTGTTGTTTTCCTTGTTGTTCTTGTTATTTCGTTTTCTTGTTCTTTATCTTTTTCTTGTTTTTTATCTTTTTGTTCTTCTTTTTTCCTTTTCTTTTTCTTCGATTTTCTTCTTCTTTCTTCTTCTTCTTCTTCTTCTTCTTCTTCTTCTTCTTCTTCTTCTTCTTCTTCTTCTTCTTCTTCTTCTTTCCTTTTCCCTTTTCATTTTTTTCCTATTCGTCTTCTTCTTCTTCTTGTTCTTCCTTCGTCCTTATCATGATCATCCTCTTTGTCTTAGTTAATCGGAGTGTCGTAACTGCAATCTGTCTGTTTACAGCATAATTACAATATCCGCACCTTTCGGCTGACACATCTGACCTCACTGGACATTTGTTCACCCTGGCCACTATATCGCTTTGTTTATGT